AAGGGGGGAGGAAAGGGAAGGTTTTTGTTGTGCACAGACCCTGTTTATGCTTAGGGCTTGTTTATATGTTTACATTTCTTCTTTAAAAAAAAAGAGTAAGAAACTAAACGTGTTTGTTCTTTGAAATGTCATTGGAGAGGCAGGGCAGCCCGACCTACTAAAGCTTTTCTATTTGGGGTGCTTTTTTTTTTTCCTTCTTGCCCCCCCCTCCCCACCTCTTGCACCCATACAGCCTCTGTAGGACTCTGTTTCCCCTCTCTGTTATGAATCAGAATGAGAGTGATGTGCTTCAGATTCCTTTAAAAATGGCAATCCCTGTGGATAAAAATGGGGAAAAAAGAGATTAATATTGCTATGTATTTCTCCTACATGAAGGGTTTTACATTTTGTCAAATGGGAGGTTGTGCCTGTTAAGGAAAGGTAAATAATATTCTTTTGAGTGCATCTTCGGAAGAGACCTGCAGAAAAGGATATTCACCATGTCTTAAGTCAAGCATGGAGCGTCTCAAAGTTATTTTTTCTCTGCTGCTTTCCTTTTCCAATAAGCAGTTAATAATCCTGAGTGTGGTGGGAGAAACCCAGTTAGGAATTGTGGCAAGGGAAGGGTTTTTAACCTGTGCCCTATTTGGAAGTTGTGTGCATATGCAAAGCTCTGGTTGCCTTAAGGGAAATACGTTTTATTGTGGTTAAGATGTTTTATGTTTTTTTTTTAAAAAAACATAATCTCTTTACCAGGAAATCACTGCACGCCTGCTAAAGTTATGTATCTGAATTGATTGCTCCTGTCTTCATCGGCTTCCTCTTTTTAAAGTTGAAAAGATATTTTGGGGGAGGAAAAAAAAAAGAGAGGTCAAAAAAAGTGCAGAGTTTCAGCTTCTAAAAAGTTGGCTGTAAAAAACAAAAACAAAGTGATTCATCCATTCACTGAAGCATGTGGTTGAGTTTATTTTTGAACACCAGCATGCTTTTGGTTTTAATTTTACTTGACTGGCTTTGCCTGTGAGTAGCTGTATCCCTTGACATTATATAATGATGGCAATTTTACAAGCCGTTTGGCTCCGTTTCTGATCTCTTTGGCTGGTGCCAGAATTATTTTCTACATGATATAAATATTGAGCTGCTGATTTAAAAAAAAAAATGTACGTGGGGATTTAGCATGCTTTTTCTTTTTTTACCTCTAATAATAAAAAAGCAAAATGATCCTGAAATGCACTGTGTACTGTAACAAGAAATATTTGTTCAGCTAGTGTGAATTTGACTGAATTGCAGAGTTACAGTGTACACTACCTGCATTGCTGACAATTTATTGTCAACTGCTAAAGGCAGGTGCTAAAATATATTTCATTCATTCTGATGTGCTGGAAGGATGCAGGAGAAACAAAGGGAGGGAATTTTTAATGTATGATTTTGTTGTTGTTTTGCGTCTAAAGTTTGTCTGATAATTTGTTTGCCACCTTTTTTGATATCATCGTTCTGGTTTGGGGGAGCTGTCCTGCTAACTCTGTTAGTTGCTGAGGAGTAGAAAAAAAAAAAGAGACATACCTTGTGTTGCCTAGAGTGGAGATCTTATTTGTTCACTCACACTTGACTCATACTTGTACTGCTCTATGGCCTTTTTTTTTACAGGGCTAAAAACATCCATTGAGGTGAGAGGTATGGAAAAAAACAATCACAAAGGGCTCTTCCCTTTTTTTTCATAGATCTGACTACACCTCCTCTTTCAAAGTGTGACTTAATTTTGATAAGAGGTTGTGCTGGTCTTATCACCACAGCCAGAGTCCAAAATTTCCACTGCTATGCAAGGCAGTTGTTAACTGAGTTTTGCCCCGTTTTATGACCTTTTTTTGCCCCCGGTTGTTAAGCGACTCATTTGGCCGTTCAGTCAGTCTGGCTTCCCCCATTGTCAGCAGCCAGGTGGGAAGGTTACAAAGAGTGATCACGTGACCCCCGGGACAGTACAACTGTCTTAAGTACATGCCAGTTGCCGAGCGTCTAAATTTTGATCACATGACCGTGGGAAAATGCTGCAGTGATTTGTAAGCGTGAAAAAGAGTCCTAAGTCACTTTTTTTCAGCGCTGTTGCAACTTCCAACGCGCTCACTAAATGAATAGTTGTGTGTCAAGGACTGCCTGTCCTAACTTTTACACCGCCAGAGGTGAAGGGCTGTCTCTTCACTCTAGCTTTCCAGGCCCAAATATTTTGATTTTGATAAGGGATGGCAAGCTACCTATTTTGCAGAATATAGCCAAGGTGTCTCAGAGGCCGCTAGGTAGTGGAGAAGGTGCTCTATTAGTAAACCACTCTCCCCCAAACGGGGGTCCTGGGACATTCTAGCTTACAATTCTCTTAAGTCCAACCTTGCATGGAAAGATACTGGGACTTGTAGGACAATAGATTACGTGCACAGCCTTGCTTTAGATGAACAGAGAATCAGGTCAGGCTATCAAGGCAATATCCTGTTTTTTGCCAGTGCGAGGTGGAGATTGGCTCCCGCTGAAATTGATTGCTCTATTTTGTGTAGCGTGTTTCACTTTGCCAGGGACTCCCTCTTTCCACGAGAGCTGGCTAGTCAAATTTTATGGGCGGAAAAGGGAGCAGGAGGGACTCCGATGACTTTTTAAAAAGCATTCTTGCTTAAGCTGGGACTTGTAAATTCCAGCGTCACGTTTTATAGTTCCCTGGTCATGTATAGTCTTTGCATTCCCTTGAAATTCATGGTTTCCTATAATTTTTCCAAACTTGTACTCTGCTTCTTTTTCCCCAGTAAGACATGGTCTGCAAGTCCTGGTATCTTAGTATATCTGATGTTGTCAAAATTAGTGCACAGCTTCAGGGACTGTATGCTTGCTGGGTTCATATGATGACGCTAACCCTATAAGTCAGGCTGAGGCTCCATGTCTTTAATTTTGGTTTCTGATATCTAGCCCTAAACATTTACAGAAGTGACTTCTC